TGGACACTCGTTCCTCACAGGCCCGGATCCATTCTTATCTTAACAGCGCATCTGCAACACAAAGAGAAATAGTCCATCTGAGACAAGCTAGATGTGGAACCCGAGAGCGGAGGTTGCGACGGCTGGGCCGGTGAGCTCCGCTTGCACCGTCGTCGGTGAGCTCCATGTGCGTGCCGCCGCTCCCGACCTCTAACGACAAACGCTCTAACAAACAGGCGAGGGGAGGAGCTCCGTGTGCCACCACCGCACCAGCGATCTCGATGCGCCGCTGCCACACCAGCGAGACTCCACTTGCCCACCGCCACCTGGAGCTCCGCATGCCGACGAGCCTCCACTCGTCCAAGCATCAAGATGATGTTGCGCTACAAGCAAATATATGTTTCAACTGTTTTTGACGTATGTTTCAAGTGTTTTATTTTAATGTTGCAAATGTTCATCTAAACGTTGCATATGTTGTAATAGCTATATAAACATGTGTTCAGAGGTGTGTTGTGTATGTTGCATATGGGGAAGGGGCGCGGCGGGGGATAGGCGTGATGCGGAGAATGAGGGTGCAGTAGAGACGGGACTCCACGGGGCAACGCGGGTGCGAGTGCAGCAGGATGCCACAGGTGACGCGGCGCGACAGGGACGGGACTAGTGGGGTGACGCGGGCGCGCTCCTATTTCTATTACGCGAGGGACGGGACAGGGAGCAGTGGGTACGCTAGAACGGGAGTTGCGTCCAGACTTTAAAATTGTGGTTTGTAATAAATATTATTAGATTAATTATAGAATATATTTTTATAGTAAAACTATTTTGAAATATAAATATTGTTTATTATTTTTATAAATCTAATATTTTTTAAAATAGTTGGGCTTATTTTAAATTTAGGATTACATTTTTTTGGACAAAGACCCAAGCTTATCAGGAGTTAAACTGAATGAACCTACAGTAATGCTCCCTATAGGACGTCCGGACAGACTGGACCGCACTCCGCCTTATCCAGCGCCGCTCGTTAGTCCGCTTCTAAAAAAGACAATGCCATTCTCCAACACGAGGCTCCTCACCGTTGAAAGCTCTAGTTTGGTTTTGGTGAATTGATGAAACCCTAAGTGCTAACCTAGTTCATCAAGTGATCATGAAATAGGTAGCACATTCCAAGTGGTGAAGCAAATGAAGATCATGACATGATAATGGCGATGCCATGGTGATGATCAAGTGCTTGGATTTGAAAAGAAGAAAGAGAAAAACAAAAGGCTCAAGGCAAAGGTATAAATGGTAGGAGCCATTTTGTTTTGGTGATCAAAACACTTAGTGAGTGTGATCATATTTAGGATCGCTAGCCGTACTATTAAGAGAGGTGAAACTCGTATCGAAATGCGGTTATCAAAGTGCCACTAGATGCTCTAACTCATTACATATGCATTTAGGATCTAGTGGAGTGCTAACACCCTTGAAAATATTTGTGAAAATATGCTAACACACATGTGCACAAGGTGATACACTTGGTGGTTGGCACATTTGAGCAAGGGTTAGGAACTTCACCGGCGGAGTGCCCGCCCGTAGAGTGCGGACAGTCCGACGGTGCCACCAGCGTCCTAGACAGAAAAGACGGAGGTCACTGTAAGTGACCGGACGCTGGTCTCGGTAGGACCGGCGCGTCCGGTCAGGTGAAGCATGAAGACGCTAGCGTTGGTCTCTGATCGAACGCTGGGTCATTTAGTGACCGGACGCTAGAAGGTTGCGTCCGGTCCTGCTGACATGGCAGCGCACAGGGGAGTCGACATGTGATCGGACACTGGGTGTGTCTGGTCGAGCATGACCGGACGCGTCCGATCGTGAAAAGTCATCTCTGGATGCTTACTGAAAACGACCGGACGCTGGTGCTTAGCGTCTGGTCACTTTGAGTTGCTATGTCCGGTCATCACTTGACCGTTGAGATCGGGCGATCAATGTTTGAAGAGAGAGGAACCCCGAGTTGTGCCCAATGAAGGGGTACAACGACTCTATTTCGTGGGGGCTTCTATTTAAGCCCCATAGCCGGTCCAAGCTCACTCTCTTGACCATTTGCATTGACATAACAACCTTATGAGCTTAGTCAAAGCCCTCCCACTCATCTTCATCATTGATTCATCATCTTTGTGAGATTGAGAGTGAATCCAAGTGCATTTCTTGAGTGTTTGCATCTAGAGGCACTTGGTGTTCGTGTTTCGCTACGGGATTCGCTTGTTACTCTTGATGGTTGTCGCCACCTAGACGACTTGGAGCAGCGAGGATCATCGAGCGGAGGTTGGTGATTGTCTCCAGCTCCGATCGTGGTGATTGTGAGGGGTTCTTGACCTTTTCTCGGCGGAGAGCCAAAAGGTACTCTAGTGGATTGCTCGTAGCTTGTGTGATCCTCATCTTGTGTTGGTTGTGCGGCACCCTATTGAGGGTTTGGCGTGTGATGCCAATTAGCGCGTGAACTTCCAAGTGAGTGAACCGCCACAACGAGGAGTAGCTTGCCGGCAAGCAAGTGAACATCGGTAAAAAATCATTGTGTTCATCATTTGATTCCGAGGTGATTGGTCTTCATTGGTATTCATTCTTGTGATTGGTTGGTTCATTTCTCGACACGGCGGTATAACGATCTTGCTTACTCTCTTTACATTACCGCAAACTAGTTGTTAAGCTCTTTAGTGTAGCTAGTTGTGAGAGCTTGTTAGTTTGGTTAGTGTAGCTCTTTAGTTAGCCTTTGAGAGCACACTAACTTAGTGTAGTGTCATAGCTATTGTGTGGATAGAAACTATATAAACTAGAATTGTGGTAGGTGGCTTGCTATTTTAGTAGGCAAGCGCAACACTTGCTTCGTCTCATAATTATCTAACCGGTTTGTTAAGTGTTGTTGTAGAATTTTTTAATATGCTATTTACCTCCCCTCTAGCCATTAGGACCATTCAACCGTGGGCTTCTCAAGCGTGGCAGCGCCGCATCCGCTCCCATCCCGCGCTGCTCCACGCTCCTCTCTCTACTCAGCGCCGCATGGCGTGGCCGCCCGCCCACTCTGCCACGTGCCACGCCGCTGCCCACTCCGGCGTACCGCCGGCACCATCCCCACGCCGCTCCCCATCCCCGCCTTCGTCCCCTGCCGCGCCATATCGTGCTCTATCCTCCGTTGCGCCAGGCCAGGCGCCTAGGAAAGGGAGCCATCGCTGGCCGAACCTAGGCCAAGCGCAGCTGGCCGCTGTCAGGCTGCACCACCATCCTTGGTTGCCGGCTTGCCGGAATCGGCCGTCCTCCGCTCTGTGTTGCATCATACGAAAAAAGAAGAAGGGTGAAAATCGCATGTTGCAAGAGTATGTTTCAAGTGTTTCAGATATTTCAGAGGTATGTTGCAACTGTTGTATATCGATGTTGCACAAGTAGATCGGGATGTTGCACATGTTGTAATAGCTATACACGTATGCTTCAAGTGTATGTTCTAAATGTTTTCATCTGTTCCAGACGTATATTTCAAGTGTTTTATCTGGATGTTATAAAAGTAGATCTAGATATTACATATGCATGTATGTTGCAAACATATGTTTCAAGTGTTTTCAGGTGTTTAATACGTATATTTGCAAGTGTTTCAACTGGATATTGCATATATTTGCAATGGTTTTCAAAAAAATTCAGGCGTTTTCGTAAGTGTATAAACGCTTGTTTTAAGTGTTTTATCTGTCTTGTTATATATGTTGCGACTGTTGCATCTAGATGTTTTAAAATAGATTAGGTGTTGCACATGGGATACGCGTGGAAAGCGGCTGATGGCGCCGGCGGCGTTCGAGGCGATGTCGGCGACGTACGGGGTGGCACGGGCCCACTACTAATGCGCTCGCTCACAGACCCGACGTGCCAGCAAGTCGAGTTAAACTAATCCAGTTATTGGGATCCAGTTAAACTGAAATAAACTAATCTGATATGTGAGTCGGGCCAGTCGTACTGGGTTTAGGGTGGGACTTCCACACCACATTTTTTTCCCCCGTCGCACAGGTAACAAAAGGCGGCTTTAGGAACTGCAGTCTTCACTTGGGACCTGGGAGAAGCGCATCTGATGCGCATGTTTAGGTTTAGCATCTGGTCCTTGTCAGCATTTGGCTGTGCGCCTGTGCCCGCTGTTCAAGTAGGACTGTAGGAGCATGTCCCCGCCATGTCCCCGTGGCCAGTGACCGCCTTCCGCTTCATGGAGCTCTCTGAACTGAATAACCAGGAAGGGAGGGACTATACAAAGATCCACGACTAATCACAAGTATTACTAGTATTTACCATCGGTGCAACAAAATTGAGCTTCCGTCGTAACTCGTGTTTGGTAACGAACTAACGATGAGAGCGTGAGGACATTCATGGGCTATTGGGAGCCGGATAGGCATGTCGCCATTCAAACCAGATCCAAAACAGCAGCCCTTATGGACGTCACACGACAAGGCACGCGTATGGGCTGGATCTCTTCACCGGCACGGCGGCACCGGCCGTGGTACAAGAACAGCAATCCTGAAGTAACACCTCACATGCCGCGGACACCGACTCGGGGGCCCAACAGTTTTTGCTGCTGAAAGCAAAATGATGGGAACTGGAGGATTTCTGTGCGTTGCTCGTAAATGCACGGGTAGAAACTTCAGCGAACTGAATTTGAGCCAGTAAAATGAAATCTCATACGAGCAGGTGAATAGCTGCAGAAAAACTTGAACTTCAGCAAATTTCAGTTAACTGCATCCAAGAGAGATGTTCGGTGAGCACAACTTTAATTTCTGGTAGTTAGCCTAAAAAATTCCGATCGCGGCGTCCACAAATTCTTCTGGTTGATTAGTTCGATTCTTGAGCAAAAGTCACACTCACACCTATGCCTCTAATCAGTCTCCTCCCAGATACCATCAGTAGTACAGTGAACACTTATCCGCCGACGGCCGTGCTATCCATGCCGAGACACCATAGCCCCCCGGCCCCCACTAATCCCACCGCAAAAGCCCCGTTTTCGTGCTCAAAAGTTCCGATTCGGCGTTATGATGACGCCTCCTCAATCAGCCAGCCAGCCGTCCACTGATTCCCTCGTCGACAGCCGTAGTGTGCTCGGTGCCCGATGCCATGCTTTCCCTCCATCTTTCTATCTTAAATCTTCCGTGCCCGTCTTAAGCATGCGTGTACCTGCCCTTTTGGCCTGCCTTCCACTGGTTCACTTCTCCGGTTCTCCTTCTCCTGCTCTGCCTGCTTGGCTGCTCCGCTTGCCAGTTGAGCGGGGCCGTGCCTGCGCAGCAGCGATGAGGGACTGGGCGCCGTCGATCATCGCGACGGCGCTGTTCGCGCTCCTGTGCCCGGGTGGCGTCCTGCAGATGCCCGGCCGGCAGCGGCCCGTCGACCTCATGAACATGAAGACCAGCTTCCCGTCCATGCTCGTCCATGCCATCATCTACTTCCTGCTGCTCATGCTCTTCCTCGTCATCCTGCAGCCTCATCTCTACATCTGACGTGAGCGTACGTGTTTCCCCCCTTGCAGAAGCTCCTAGCATGTTTTAATTTGTTGGGCATGTTTCCCCCCTTGCAGAAGCTCTTAGCATGTTCCCCCCCTAGCGTACGTGTTTTAATTTCCCCCCTTGCAGAAGCTCCTAGCATGTTTCAGAGGATTATATATAGTATGTAAGATGCCTCCTGAAAACTTTTAATTTGGTTCAGAGTTTCAGACTTCAGAGTGTCAATTTATTCGAACCGAAGTTTCATGTCAATTTTCTGTCTCCTGCAGCATGACGTGCATGGTTAGCACAATATGGCAACAGCGTAGATTTTCAGTGTCTGATTCTAATATTTGACAGGAGCAATTTGAGATTCATAGAGCGACTAGTGCAAATCTGTGCACCTGTTAGTGTTCTGATATGTGTCCCTTACCTAATCTCATATAGCACTACCCGTAACTCAGAAATCCTTAGGACGGGAAACCAGCTATCACTAGTACAATAGTACTTTATTAGTTTGCAGATCTGTAGGTAGAAAAAGAGGAAAATCTAGACCACAAGCAGAATCATCCTTTGTTAAATGGTTTAGTCATGCTGTCCAGTGAGTTTCTCCTGTATTGATAGATACAACCGGGTTAGAGCTTTCCGGCGGCACCCCTAAGGTCCTGAGTTCGAATCCCCATAGAAACGAATTTCAGGTTAGGGCTAAAAAAATCTCCTCGCTGTGCCTCCCTGTGTGGGACAGCCCGGCCTATGGCAACGGTGGCGGCCCAACCTGGGGGTTGTGGCAGTGATCGCCGGCCTAGGGTACGGTCTGCTTCCCGGGTGAGGCCGGGGTTCAGGAATTTTCTCGGTCAGGTACCGAGACTTTCTTCCTAGTATAAAAACCGTGGGGCGGTCTTTCCCCACCGGCTGAGTTTTTTTAGATACAACTGGGTAGTTTACCTGACGGCCTTTTCATCACCAGAAAAGAGAAACAAAAAACATGTCCAGTTACAGCAACTAGAGATAAAACAAATTATGGGGTGCTAACAGCTGAAAGTAAGACGCAATATATCGGATTTATTGTTTTGCGTTTGCCTAGGTTAATTGCAGATTCATACTGCTGGAAAGTAAAGGCCAGCCACTACTTCGACTTGACGACGGTCACAGGGCATGATGCATTCGACAGCACGTAGTTCGTCACACTTCCTAGCAGAATCCTGCAGGTTCACGGAGCAGATCATGAAACGGTCAGAATAAGCTAGATATGCAAGTGATACGCGTGTTGTATCTATCATGTCGTCGGCACATTAGAACCGTATATGATTGCGTTTTGTGTCCGATGAATCATGAACGACGCATTGCCTGTGATGATTCTCAGAACCTCGAGCAGATGGTGAACCTGAATGGTTGTTCAGGAAAACTGCTAACGCCATTGCTGCAGCGTACGTACCTTTGGATCTGGCCGAGGCCACGGCTGCCCATGACGAGCGACTCGAGATGGAGCTCCTCCACCGCGTCGCACACCTTCTCCCTCGGGTCACCCCAGTACATCTTGATCACCACGCACAGCTGTTCGTCCAGCATGGTGCATGCGTACAACAGCTCAAACCGTATCAGTATCACCATCTACACGCAGCTTGCCTTGGATCGAACAGGAAAAGAACCGCAGCACGCACGATGATGGACCGGTGGCGAGGGACAAGAAGCGCACCTCTTTCTGCCGGGCCACGGCGTTGAGCATGTCGAACACCTCGGGGTCCTCCGGCATGTCGTAGCGCTGCCTCACAGGCGGATCCATGAGCTCCTCGAGCGGGATCAGCGCTGCCATCGATTCAAATTCAAATCGAGCGGCCAATATGAGAAGCTATGGTGATGGATAAACAGATCGGAGACCAATATATAACGCAAGGCAATCCAGTCAAAGCTTGCGTCGTCGGGCAGCAGCTTACGCGATCCGGTGCGGGACCAGAGGACGTTCTTCGCCTCATCCTTGCCGTGGTGGCGGATGTGGAGGAGCACGAGCGTCTCGCCCTTGCGGACCAGGTTGTCGGTCGCCCACCGCAGCGCCTTCTTGCTGCTCGGCGAGAAGTCCATCGCCACGCCGATCCTCCGCTCCGCCATGGTGGTACCGCTCAGCTGCAGACGTTCGAATTCCTCCTAATCGCGGTCTCGTCGTCCGCTAGATTTTCCTTTCGCTTTCACTCCGGCTAGCTATTGCTTTGGCATCGATCACCCGTGACAAACTTGTGGTTTCGTGGAGACGTGGAGTGCGTGCGCCCGGCCGCGGCCCGCCACTTGCCCTTGTGTTGAGCGAGGCGAGAGACGCGCGCCGCAGTGCGCGGGCGGCCTGTCACGGGTGGCGCGCGGGCGAACGCGACGTGGCCTACTGGCATGCCCCGCAGGCTGCAGCGCCGCTCACAGGGACGGGTGTGGGTTGGGGTGGGGCGCGTCCACGGGGAAATACGCTTGGGTTGGGCCCGGCCCATAGACCTAGATGCCTAGTGGCCCAAGAGCAACTCCGGCATGTAAGGAGGAGCGATTATCGTTTCCGTGGCAACTGGCAAGCGCGATCGCGCGTGGTGATCAATTGGCACGGGTTGTTAGAATTGATCCAACCCTAATCCGTGCCTACCAAGTCTGCTACTGTCAATTCTAAGAGTCGGGCCGGTGCCTAACAGACCCAACCACACCATTATCGGGCTGGAAAGTTGCTAGTCTTCATGCACCCCTTTGCGCAACGAACCTCTGCATTCCTGACAAAAGCCAGGAAGCAGGCATCAGTCGGCTCAAACAGCCTGAAGAAGGGCCATCTTCCTTCTTCTTTTTGAGCGAATCTGGAGGGACCGAAGCCCCCTACAGCTTCCTCGGTGACGCTCCCGGCATATGGCAATTGACAAGAGATAAACACGTCACAATCAGGGATAGACAGTAGACACACTCGTGCGCCTGCCTCAGCTGTTCAACAAGCAAAGCATCTAGGCACTGACATAGGGGGTGATTGATTGCTTTGGTGATGGGTAGTGATGTATGCTTAAATTGTGCACTCAGTCATGTTTGACTGTCTTTATTGTTGATCTAATACGAGATGAGATCTTGTTTGGTCGCATGCATGGATGGAAGTTTTGAGTGTACGACACATGGACCTCTGTATCATGGGTGCATCGCGTCATCTTACATCGCGAGGAAAGTGGGAATCGAGAAGACGGATCTATCTGGGATGGAGGGGTGAAGATGAATGAGACGGCACAGAAAAAAGATGCGAGACAGACATCAAACACGGCCAAACGCACCGAGCGGCGCTGAGATGGGCCTCAGAATGGCCTCCTGCGTCCAACCAATCGCCCCCGTGTAACAGGAGAGCTGTCCCACTCGTGTTTGTTTGCGGTCAGCTCCAACTATCGCTCGCCGCCGCTACTTCACCATCTCTCCAGCGGTTTCGGTGGCTCAAATCTCCGGCCATCGTCTCGCACGGCACGTCCAAGTCTTAGTCTTTGGATAGAGAGACCGTACCTGTTCCATCTGCTGCTGGTGGTAAACGCTTTGTGTGCACTAGGCACGGCTAGCCTGTAACTCGGACAGCCTTGTCCGGCGAAAAAACCGCCCCCAAATCATTCGGGCTCGTCGTCGCCGGGTGGTCACCTGTTAGGTCGCCGGAAGAAAAAGAACGCCGCACCAAGCGCGTTGCCTTCTCTCGCTTTCGCCTCGCAGCGACTGAACCATTAACCGGCAGCCGAGAGCCCGAGAGGCCGATAGCCGAAGATTATTCGTCGCGACAGTTCAGAATGACAGCAGGACACGCAACGCCTCGTCGTGTCTTGTCGACATGCCGTTCGAGTGCGTCCAATAATGGTTTGGTGTACAGTACGTCAGATGTGCAACATGAAGGGGTTACCTACCACACGTACCGTGCGCTCTTCTCTTCTTCTGGTTGATTTGGTGGGGTTATAGGGGCTGATTGCGGGGCAAGTCGGCGCTAGTGGTTTCCGTGAGCTGCTCGGCCGGGCAAAACTTCCCGTCGTCGAATGCCCAACTGCACGTACAATGGAGGTACAGGTACGGTGTGCCCAGCCGCAGGTGCAAGCAACGACAGGGAGGATGGCCAGTACTCCCTGGCCCTGGCCCTTGCCGGATTACATAGACTCTGTCGGTCTATGATGGAGGTTTGGACCTGAGATGAAGCGGTGTACTAAAATTTAGGAGGTGTTACGTGAGGTTGTCGTATGGGGTGTTCACATACTAATAAAAAAACAAATTATGGAATTCGTCAGTATTCCACGAGACAAATTTATTAAGCCTAATTAATCCGTCATTAGCATATATTTACTGTAGCACCACATTGTCGAATTATGAACTAATTAGTCTTAAAAAATTCGTCTCGCAAATTAGTCGTAAACTATGCAATTTGTTTTATAATTAGTCTATATTTAATACTTTATATATGTGTCCAAACATTCAATGAGACATCGACTAAAGTTTAGGAGAAGACTAAACACCCCCTGAGACTTGTATTGCACTTCCCATCACCTTCGAGAAAAAGGGCGCGCGCGGTTCGTCTTTTTCAGAACAGCTCCGTTGAATGCACCACCACGACATCCTGAAATCAGCAAAGCAACATGGCGCATTTGTTGGTGCGCTTCAGGTCCTGCCATTTTCTCACGACAAGCAATTCCGGACAGTTACTGTCGTGGTATCAAGCGGGTAGACCTGGGTATCGATCCTACCAATCGTACCGGCCTATCAGATAAGCAGCCTGTTCGCTTGTTGATTTTAGTCAGCTCAAACTAATCAGCCAACAGTATTTTCCTCTTACAATAAATCAGCACCAGCCAACCCAAACCAGCTCAGAAACCAAGAAGAGGCCTCGGCCACAAGAGGTTTTACTCACGTTGGCTCCATTTGGGGGGGATTGATTTGATATACGGCAGATGTGACCGTGATCGCCCCTGCCATTGAGCAACGGCTTTGCCTGATTCTACTCTTATTATTAAAAGCAAGCCAGTAGAATGTGCTCGTGCTCATGAGCTCTGCCCAAC